CCCCTTTGCAATTTTTTCATTTAATTTTTACGGCTTCTATTTTGCTAAGCAGTATTTTAGTCCGTTTTGGTCAATATTTAAATGTGAATAATCGAAATATGTAAATCAATAAATTCAATTACAATCAGTATCATTTGATGGTAAATATTAAAATATTAACTGTCAAAACTAAATATGAAGGGTCAGAATTTAAATTGGGAGAGTCGGTATTATAATCCATATATAAATAATAGGAATGTCATAGAGTCTGCATCTCGCTTATATAAGGGATGATAGGATTTTGAACTAGTTGTAATAGACAGTTGGAAAGGTAAAAAACGTTCCATATTTCGTAGAGTAACTGGACAACACAATCCTCTCATTTATTCTGCATGTAATTGGAAAAACATGATAGTCTGGATTATCTTCGCGTGTCAAAACACCTCTGTATCGAATTATTACAACCGACTGACTATGTATTTCATTATTCTTCATCCAAACGTAAATGATCAACCGACAAACAAAAATTTATCAGACGAGAGAGCATTTATGTTATTATTAATCACAGTTAAATGATCGAAGTTACTGTACTTATCTGTTTTTTTAATTAATTTAATTTTTTTTGTATTTCTAAAACTTTTACATTATTTAGACGAAGAAAAGGTTAAAAGCGTTCGAAATGTGGTGTTACAGGCCAATTATGAGGAGAGAGAAGGTTAGATATGAGGAGTTATTAGAAAGAATAGGAGAACAAGGACTCTACGGAAGTCAATAAGAAATAGTCGAGATAGGTTGGTAAGATCAGGCATGAAGGGCTAGTCAGAGGCATGTTAAAAGGAGTTAAAAGGAGTAGAGGTCAACCTCGATTAGATTACTGTTCGCAAATAGTTAAACATGTGGGATGTTCTAGTTTTAGGAAAATGCGAAAATTAACTAGGGATAGGAAATAGTAAAAGTGCGTGTCCAACCAGTCTTTGGACGGACGACCTTATGATTTAGAATTTCTTCATTGTCAATCTTTTTATAGATATTGTATGAAATTATAAAAATAAAAAATAAACACTTTTTTCATACTATTAAACAAAAACTGAAAAGTCAATCAATAATAATATAATTTCTCTATGCTCAGGAAACATAATGTTATGTAAATACCTAATCAAAACTAAGAAGTAGCAAAATTCTTCTGTTTAATGTGACATTGTGGATGATATGAAGTACTTATTAAAACTAAAAATAACATCTAGAAATACATATTTTTTGAGATTATTAATTCTATTTTCACATCAAATCTTCCTGCGAAGGAAATTGACTAAAGTTGCAATAGGAAGTTATCAATTTGCTTCTTTAAATAAACGCTCTGATACTCATCTCATCATCAGTGAATTCCTTTGAATGAAAGAGAAAGTACCTATATTACTCTCATCTTTAAGAAGCCGCACGTGTAATTTATAAACGCTCTGTTCGCGTAATTTAATGTTAAAATCTAGTGGTAATTAGTTTCCAAGCAAGTAATCATTTTCTGTTCCTCAATTTTTGCCTTAATTTAGAATTGAATTTCCAAAATGAATTCAACATGTTCATTATTTAAGTACACCTTTTTCTACTATAAAATTCGTTTCACTGTAAAATTTCAAATTTAATTAATTAATAGAAATCAAACAAGTTCAAAATGTACTTTATATGAACATTTATTTTATCGTTAATGTTTTCAGGATAATCCTAACTAATATTGTATACGTGAATATGAGTTTGTTTGTTTATTACCATTTCACTACTTAATTATTCAACCCATCATCATGAAATTTCGTATACACATTGTCGGAGATATAGAAAAGGACATAGAGTACCTTTTATCAAAAAAAAAACAATACTGTTGCCGAGGGATAGAAAATTCATTTTATGTGGTCGTTAATGATCTTCGACACGTTCTTACTCGCAACATAGACCGCTTAATAAATCATTTTGAGGCAAATGGTTTATAATATATACAATTGTTATAACCAATAATTAGTAGCCTAGATCACTACTAACAACCTCGAGTTCATATGTATAAAATTGGTTCAATAACTTCGAAGATGTGCCCACAAAACTTTTTATGGGTCGTTTGTAACTTAATAACAAAAACACTTATTGAAATTGAATAATTGATAAGTTGCGTAACTGCTACATATAAAGATGGAATTATTTTAGATGAAAATCCGTGAAAAAATTTTACTGGCCCTCTTAACGATACTGAAGTGTACCTATTCATTTGAATATGTGTTAGTTACGTAGATATATACCATTTTGAAAGTGCTAATCGATGTACAACTTAAAAAAGAGCAGCACCGCAAAGCGAAAACGTTTTTGTAACTAACCATTCGAACGTGTCATCAAATTATCAAACTCTCTAATTAAAAAACTCAATTAACTAAAACTGCTGAAACGGGGACTGAATGATTATTTCGCTGTACGCTTAGCAAACAAAAAGAGAGACTTACAGTATATGTTTGTTCTAGTTTTCGAAGGTCGCCATTTTAACCGCCAATCCACCAATTTCCAATTTTAATTCAACGGTATCTTTAATCTGCAATTAACGGCATCCTAACGTAAAACAAAAACTAACGCACGCTTATTCACACGGCCACTACGTAAATTATCCCGATATCCAACGCTGAATTGGCTTATTTTCACCCATGTTTTTCAGCAAGATAAAGTGCTATTTAATACTTTTCGCAAAACCCCGTAAATTACACAGCTTAATCTACTATGGTAATAACAATATTATATACAGTGCGATTCACATTCAAAGCCCTTTAGTATGATTGAAAAAAATTTCTGAAAAAGAAGTTAGTTTAAGACATTGTCTGATACAAATTATAAAAAAAGGACATACATCTCTTGGTATAACATTCTACCTCTCCTTCATATCGCAATCAAAATATACGGTTTAGTTATCAATTAAAGTAATTAACAATGAATATTTTAGGATAAACCGAGAATACTAGCGATTATTTTGTGATGAAAATTGTCTGAAGCTCAAAGTGCTAATAATGTAGTGCTAGTTTTTTAAAAACCCCCAAGACCCCCCTTTACAGATGGTGTCTTTCGAAACCCCCTCTTCAGGTCTAATATACGCCTCGCCACTCCAATTAAAAATTGAAAATTACCCCCATGTAAAACTTTAAAGCAACTTTTTCATCTACACACAAAGGTGTTTTATTTTATGAATTATCATTTCATTACAGTTACCCCCAAGTGGTATTAGCCCAACCCACCCTCATATTCACAGCACTCCCCTGAAAAGAGCAAATTAACGAAACTTAAATAATATCACCGTTATGAAGAATTTATCCTACACAATTAATTTCTAAAATCGCTAAACCAGTTATTTTATATGTATTATCAAAAGTTGATGTGTTACTAATCGCAAAATAGTAATAAATAACTTAAGATAACATCAGTTCTAAATATACCACTTTGTAATAATTTTATTTTTTGTTTATTTATAAATGGAAGTAGCTAAATTGAAGACATCCTTAACACAGCCAAAGTACGACAATTTTGTTCTTGTTTTGTAGTCTAGCTAAAATCTCTTATCAGTCTTTTTGCGAACGTAGCGGGTATTGTAGGAGAATGGCAATCAATTTCTTGTGCGAAGTATATAGAACAATAGGCGACCATATACAAACAAGACCTCTTTGTTTCTGTAGATCTAACAAAGCAAGATAATTCCTGAAATTACATTTCTTTAAAATTGGAAACAAATAAGTGAAAGCAAACGTTCAAAAATGATAGCAAATATTATTCCATTAAAATGTATTTATATTAAAAAACGTAGCAGCACCTAATAAACAATTTTGAGAATATTAATTATATTTTTCTGTTTCAGAAGGTATGTTAAAAATAAATTGTCTGTCCAATTGACAATTAATCTATAACAATTTCAACTTACAATTACTTCTACCTTTTTAACGAGTCCGATTTCTTTACGTTTTTAAAGCATTTACAAAAATGTACGCGTGAAATGCATTCTTTCTTAAAAACTTCGAATATTTATACTTTTATTTATTTACTACTTAATTTCAAAAGAAAAAAACTTTTCGTCTCTAATCTTATCTGAGAATGAAACCGGGTGTTGAAATCAACTTCTCCTGTAATGTAAATTGCAAACTGATGTTGCAGCTTAGAGAACTAACCCTACACAAATAGTAACACTTCGCTCGACAACCATTAAATTCTGACAAAGAAAAAACGAATGCTCTAGCACAGTACATACCTATTCAAACAAAATTGAATGTTAGATTTGGTTTTAATTAAAGATAGGTAATCTGAATTTAGGTTCATTAATTTTGAAGTGCGATTATTTATTAGTAGATATTCGTCCCTCCCGGAAAAAAGAATTTCAGTTAGGACCTGAGTGATTACAAAAAGTTTATACTAATATTAGTACAAACATATATGGTGCGTATTAGGTATAAGTTTATTTACTTCACCTTCACTTTTAAAAAGGTGTAAGTAAGCAAGCAATTTCGCGATGAAGATGTTTATAACTGCAGACTTGTTACATTAACTGTTCCGAATAAGTTCGTCATTATTTAAAATGATTTCCAGTCTTTAGCGAACCTTTCACTACGTTCACATCTTATAGTTCTTCTTGAATAACGTTTACGCTACTATCTAATGCAATCTGAGTACTTTCTAAGCTAATTTTTTTTATAAAAAATGGTTTATTATTTCGACTTTAATTTCAAACTATTCATAAATATAAAATTTGAAGTACGTTTAACACCATTTATGGTTTAAAAACATATAACAAAAACATATAAATAGTAACAAAATCATTTAGTCTTCAATATTCGTTATTTACACAAATTGTAATATTGAACTTAAGTATATTGGGCTTAAACGTTATTTACGTCAACTTGTGTTTTAAAATAGTTCAAAAGTAACGTGGCCTCGTTATTTTTTATATTTTATTGTTGTTCCATCCAATTTTATTCGGTTTAGCTAATTAATTTTTCTTGTTTTTTTTTCCATAGATTGTCAGATAAATTGATAAGTATTGAAGTTAGTTTTGGATACTACACGAATATCGCCAAATGGAATGGTGTGCAATGATGCAGTTCTTCCTACATATTTCGTTTGCTCTTCACTTTGAAACACCTTGAGAATGTATACCATAATTCTATTATCACATTCTCTACTACGGAGACTAAATTGATTAATGTTTAAAAATTTTGTGATGTAACAATTTATTTCACAAGAATATTATCAAAACTCAACCCTGTGCAGTTGGGCATTACAACGGTCAATTCATTCCAGATATTCCAGTGCCCTTTTTTGTCCATTGAAAACGCAAACATTATAGTAAGTAACAATATTAAAGATATTTTAACGGTAATTTAATAGAGGAGGAGCAATTATAACTTTTCAATTTAAATTGATGGAGGTTTTAAAGCCTAATGTTGATTATCAGTTAAATTTTAACATTTCTTTATAAACTAATTTCTGATTCTAACTGATTTAATTTTTTTAAAGCACTTTCTTTGTTATTTTAATAAGATAGTTTCTTTATTTAACTAAAAAAATCTACCACTAGCAACCCCTTTAATTAAATAGAAAATACAAAATATATGAAAAGCAAAATAGCATACAAGAAAAGAAAGAAACTGTAAAATATTAGAGAAAAAATTGTATTTATGTATATGAATAACAGATTAGGGAATTGAATGAAACATTAAATATTTGATTTTCGGCATAAGAAATGTTTGTATATTTTGTTTATTGGTGAACACATGTATCTGTTACTTTTCCATTCACTTATATCCGTGTTCAAAGCATAGTGCCATGTCCTCACTTTACAATTTTACTGTTTTGATTTGCTTTTAACTGCGTTTTTATATTTGATTTCATATCTTGTTTGTTTAATACTGAGACTAATTTATTTTTCTTGTTCGTTTCCACAGATTGGCAAATAAATAAGATAGAATTCTTCTATTCTGGACTATATTCTTGATTAGCTGTTTTCGCCTTCAATTTAAGCAAATAATTTTCAACCCTTCAATGAGAACAACTGGAGATTTATTTGAATTCAACTAAAACAAGTTTTCTGCTATGATATTCCTCCTGGATGTGGTTTGCTTTTCACACCAACAAACTTTGGAATGTTATAGTCTACAGTTCATTATGGTGAGAATACTTGATATAAATAATTTCTCTATTTTGCATGTTTTTTGTAGTTTATTTTATTTGAATTAATTTTTGATTGTAAAAGTTTTTATTTTTATTTTTGGTAGTTGCGGTAATACTAACACGTTTCTTTGATAATCTATTATTTGACTAATAGTAGTTGTGGTTCTTAAAATTTTAAAACATAATATTTAAGATGAAACTAACATTCAATGTTTCAACAGGTTATTATTTAAACACATTAAACGAACAAGAAGACAAAAATTGAGAAGGATTCGAATACTGGAGAAGTGGAGCCCTGTTACTGCTCATTCCCTGATAGATGCAATTTTTAGAAAATACATGCAGTCCAATTCACACCGATGTGTATAAAGTTGCATAAGCGATGTTCTATCTTCTGCTGTATGGCTCATTTCACCATCATAAGCATCTATTGTGAGAGGCACTTCTCTGTACAGTAATCCTAGAGGTAAGCAATTGTTTTACTGTTTATTATTTTGATGGTGCTCAATTTTCATAATAATTCGTCGACAGCAGAAATTGCATTTCGTGCATCTATGATATCTGTTCGCAGTTATATATTATCTGCAGCATAAATTGACACCGTGCGCCTATGGTTATTTCTATTGTCTTTAGCGTTTATCCTATTATCTATGGCGTTTATCTATATCACGAATGAAATTGACAGCATGTGGCCATCTTAGAATTTAGCTTTTGGTGTGTTATTATATTATTTCATATTTTACTTAATTTAATACTATTATTAATTAATAGCGTAATTAATAATTCTTTTTGTCCATTTCTGCCGATAGTTCAACAAACGAGAGAATTAAAGCTGACCATGCTGAACCAATCAATGTCTGTAATCGTATCATCATTCCTGGATTAAATTCTTCATTTGCTGTTTTCGTCTTTAACTTACAACATTATGCAATGAATATTCAACAGATGAGTGAGAGCAAGAGGAGATTTATTTAAATTCCATTGAAACAAGTTTTCTGCAAACTTGGGCACGTTACAGTGTACTGTTTCTTAAGGTGAGAATATTTAGTATAATTAATATTAATTGCTCTTTATTAATCTGTTACCACCCTATCTGTTTCAGGTCAACGGTGGAGAAGACAAAGAAGACCCCGTAGTTAAAATACCTGTGTATCTTGTATGTCCTTTTGTTATTAGAATTAATAATTTTTTATTTTGCATGTTTTTTGTAGTTTATTTGAATTAATTTTTGATTGTAGATGTTATTATTATGTTTTTTAGTAGTAGTAGTAGTAGTAGTAGTAGTAGTAGTAGTAGTA